CAAGGTCTTAAGGACTTCGCAGTCTTTTACAGAGTGAATAGGCAAATATATAAAAAGTATATATTTTGACAGTTGTTTGGTGATCTACTTTTTCCTACTTAGAAAAAAGTGGTGTGTGTTCTATTCTCTGTTGTGTTGAGGCAACGAGGTAAATAGGGGTAAGTAAATGCTTTAAGTCCCTCTGTTCAATGTTGATGTATCTTTGTAGAAAATGAGTCATCCTATTCCATTGATGTTAGCTGGTACTTTTATACCTGAGATTCTAGCATTAGTTTTGACAGATGTTTTCGCTCTTCTGTGGTAAAGGCTTCTTTTTTCAGTTCCTCAAACCGTTTGGCAAACCAGTCTTTCTCCTCCTGGCTCTGAAGTTGGGAGGTTTCAATAGAAATTTGCCCACAGTAGATTTGGTTGAGATAGGCTAATAGTTCCTCAAGAGAGGCCTCTTCCTTCCCCATGTTCAATAACCCTAGAAAATGGAATCAAAGGGATCATTTTAAGAAACAATCAACCATGTAATTAATTATAAATTTTTTTTAATGTTTTATTTATTTCTAGGAGAGTGAGAGAGACAGTGTGAGCAGCGGAGGGTCAGAGAGAGAGGGAGTGACAGACTCTGAAACAGGCTCCAGGCTCTGAGCTGGCAGTCAGCACAGAGCCCGACGCGGGGCTCGAACCCACAAACCGCGAGATCATGACCTGAGCGAAAGTCGGACGCTTAACCGACTAAGCCACCCAGGCGCCCCTCAACCATGTAATTAATTATAGAACATACCAAAAATATTATTTTAATTCAGTGCATTTTGTTCTGGATAAGCCGGGTCATCATCAATGGCTATCTGGATTTTTCTAAAGGCAAAACTAAAAATATAGTCAAAGGCCACGAAATAGTCAGACTAGGAGAGAGAATATAAGTCTTTTTCCACAAGGAGAGAGCCATACCGCTTCATGCCAAATTTTGATTCTACTGTAATTTCAAACTAAAAATTGAAATTTAACACTCATCTGCTTTATAGCTACAGATCAGGTATTCTACCTTTATCACAAATATCTCCCCAAATGTTTAAGTCTTATGTTAATACTTATAAAGTAATGTCTACCACTAAACAGTTGGTCTAAATGTGATTAATTTGGATAGCAGAGCAACATTTTAAGGTAAAGGGAAATCTGCCTGAACCTCGGTCAAAAAAAAGAAGAGCATTGTAGTATATCAGTAGCTCAGCACCAAATCAATGATCAGTCATTTATCTAACCCTACAACTTGAGTTTTTAACAAACCAACATTTACTTTATTATTGCTTGTGGTTTCTTACAATAAACTTTAGCTCTTTGATACTGATTGACCATTCAAGTTATAAAAATTGCTTTGTATATCACTTGGCTTCTCTGCCTCACATTTTAATCTATAAAACAGGAGCACAGGATGGGGTTGTTGTTAAGATAAAATAAGACAGGGGTGCCTGGGTGGTTCAGTCGATTAAGCATCTGACTTCGGCTTACATCGTGATCTTGCAGCTCATGGGTTTGAGCCCCATGTCACGCTCTGTGCTGACAGCTCAGAGCCTGGAGCCTGTTTCGGATTCTGTGTCTCCTTCGTTCTCTACGCCTCTCCCACTCACACTCTGTCTCTCAAAAATGAGTAAATGTTAAAAAGAATTTTTTAAAGATTAAATGAGATAGGAAATAACCCAATATCCATTGATGGTATAAACAAAATATAGCCATACTGTCACAGACTATGAATCTGGAGTTCTCTCTTGTCCAGCAAAAGAGTGGATGCAGAATTGAATATGAGAGAGGCTAATGTCCAGGAGGAGACAACAGCTCTGAACAGGGATTTCATCTCTGTATTTATCGAGCTCTCATGATCTTACACATGTGGTAAACATGAAGAAAATAATCAGATAGTAATTATTAATTATTAACTTGTGTGTGTAAGAAGCAAAGGGTCTGGGGGGCAAGTGGTATTTGTGATCAAAGTATATTGGCACCAGATAGAAAGTAGTTTCCTGCAGGTGATATAACAAGTTACTCGTGATCCCATTATAATATCTCGCTAACTAACCTTGGGCACTTTCACCCAGTAGTGGCAGCTTTTGGCCCCAAACTTTTTCCTACTTAATGACTAACCCTGGACTCTTTTGCCCTGTGGTGGTGGCTTTTCGCCCTAAGCTTTCTTAACCCATCTATAGAAGTATAAGGAATTCTTGAACTTATTTCCCCACACTATACGATGGAATATTATTCAGCCACATAAAGGAATAAAGTACCAATTTATGCTACAGTTTGGACGACACTTGGAAACATTATGCTAAATGGAAAAGGCCAGACCCAAAAGGCCACAGACTGGGACTTCGTTTATACAGAAGGTCAAGAATAGGCAAATCTATAGAAATAGAAGGTAGATCAGTGGTTGCCAGGGGCTGAGGAGAAGGCAGTAACTGTTTTCTAGGCACAAGACTTCCTTTTTGGGTGATGAAAATGTTCTGGAACTAAACTGATGGTTGCATAACATTGTGACTGTATGAAACGTCACTGAATTGCATGCTTTAAAATGGTTTGAGTTGAGGGGCACCTGGCTGGCTAAAGTGGTACAGTGTGCAACTCTTGATCTTGGGGTTGCGAGTGCAAGCCCCAAGTTGGGCATAGAAATTACTTAAAATAAAATGGTTACAGTGGCAACGGCTATGTATACTTTACCCAATAAAATTTTTCAAAAACTTAAAACTATTAAATGTGATGACAAAGAAAAGCATGCAGCTTAACAATTGCTTTGTGTTTCTCACATTTTCTGCTATTTTTATTAACTACATGTATTTCAAATACACAGATCCATCATGCTTCTAAAAGAAGAGACATAAAAACACATGGTTATAGATAACCATAGTTTCATCCATCCAGTAACCAAATTTGGAGAACCTACAATATGCCAGAAGCTGTATTGCACTGAGTGTACAAACACAACTAAGAAATAGTCTTTTTCAAGAGGGCTCAATAGGTACAGCATGTGATGCTTGATCTCAGGGTCATAGGTTTGAGCCCCACGCTGGGCCTAGAGCTTACTTAGGAGAAAAGAAAGAAAGAAAGAGTCTTTTTCCTAAAGAAAATCTAAGCCTTATGGGGAAAATTTTATAAACAAGTAATGACAATACCAAGTCATATAAACTAATGGCTTTTCCCACTAAGAAGATTGCACATTCTGTTAAGTAACTTCATATTTCCAGTGAGTACGGAATGGAGGGTTTGAGAGTATTTTTAGAATAGCTTTATTCTGAAGTCAGATTAAGTTCTTTATTTGTTTTGGTAGATACGCTACTGTTGAGAGTTGCACACAGCTCTATGAGTGCACAGGTGAGGGGATCCTGAACTCAACCTTGGCAAGCTGTGGTTAGCTCTGCCTTACACAGTGGGCAGAGCTTGCAGCATGCTTAAAAATGAACAGGAATGCCCAAGATTGGCTGGGTAGAGATGGAAAGACATTCCATGCAAAGTTATGGGAGTATGAGTTGATACAAGATTAGGGATCTATAAGTAGATTCAGCAAGAATAAGGCACAACAGGAGCACCTGGGTAGCTCAGGAGGTTAAGTGTCCAACTCTTGATTTTGACTCAGGTCGTGATCTCACTGTTTGTGGGATGGAGCCCCACATCGGGCTCTGTGCTGACAGGGTGGAGCCTGCTTCAGGTTCTCCCTCTCCTTTTCTCTCTGCTCATGCCCAACCCATATTCTCTCTCTCTCTCTCTCTCTCTCTCTCCTCTCTCAAAATAAATAAATAAACATAAAAAAAAAAAAAAAGAAGAGGAAGGCACAACAAGGCGAATGGGGTGGATACTAAAACACTAAGCTTTTCCATTCCTGAAGGGCCATTTAAGTTACAAGGGAAGCATAGATTGTCTCTGAGACCCCCAGCTGAGATTTACCTAGCTGACTCCAGTCAGATCCTGGAACTGAAAGATAATGAAATTGTTGTGCCCTTAAAAGTCACTGCATTACCAGAACATTACCAGTTGATGTATATACCAGAATGTGATGTTGGCCAACATTAACTTTTAAAAAAAGACATGACAGGGGTCGCCTGGGTGGCTCAGTTGGAAGAGTATGTGATCCTCCATCTCGGGGTTGTGAGTTCAAGCCCCACGTCAGGTAAAGAGACTATTTAAACATAAAATCTTTTGAAAATAGTAATAATAAAATAAAATAAATAAGTAAAAAAAAAATGGCATGAGGTAGGAGCCCAAGATTCTGCCTGGTTATCTAGCCCCATATTTTTTAAGTTCCCAGGCTGGGAAATAAAACAGGAAGGGAGAGCTGGATTGTCATCTCACCTCTGCCACTTCCTATCTACGAGTTACTTAAGTGTCTGTTTCCCTGTCTGTAAAATAAAGATGTCAGTAATTTCTTTAGGGAGTAGGTATAGGAATGAATTGACAAAACAGATGTAAAGTGGCCCATAATGGGTGTTCATCTTTTCTTTAATTATTGTCTCTGGGCTTGCAATTTTTGTTCATTTTTTTAAAGATATATATTTTTTTAGAAATATTTATTTATTTGTTTTTGAGAGAGAAACAGAGTAGAGAGCGAGCAGGGGAGGGACAGAGAGAGAGGGAGACAGACTCCCATACAGGCTTAATGCCATTGGCACAGAGTCCGGATGTGGGGCTTGAACCCACAAACCGTGAGACGATGATCTGAGCCAAAACCAAGAGACGGACACTTAACCGACTGAGCCACCCAAGTGCCCCTTATTCACTTTAAAAATAGTTTTCTTTCATAGTAAGAATGCTGAACCTAAGATCTGTTCTCTTAGCAAAATTTTAAGTATACAGTACAATACTAGCCAACAGCCCCATGTTGTACAGAATATCTCCAGAACTTATTTTTCTTTCATAATTGAAACTCTGTACCTTTTGACTGATACCTCCTCATTTTCACCTCTTCCCAGACCCTGCAAACCACTATTCTACTTCCTGGTCCTATAAGTTTGACTATTTTATTATTTTTCTTAAATATCGAAGACTTCACAAATTTGTGTGTCATCCTTGTGCTGGCGCCATGCTGATCCTCTCTGTATCATTCCAATTCTAGTCTCTGTGCTGCTGAAGCAAGCACGAGTTTGATGATTTAAAACCCGTCATGTGGTGGGATCGAGCATGCAGTACCTGTCCTTCTGGGACTGGTTTTATTTCACTAAGCATAACATCTCGAGGTTCATCCATGTTGTCACAAATGGAAGGATCCCCTTCTTTTTTAAGGCTGAATAATATTCCATTCTGTACGTATACTGCATTTTCGTTTATTTTTTTTAATCTTTTTTTGGGGGGGTAGGCTCTATGCCCAACGTGGGGCTTGAACCCCAAGATCAACAGTCGCCGGCTCTAGGGACTGAGCCAGCCAGCCAGATGCCCCCATGCTGCATTTTCTTTATTCATTCATCCATTGATGGGCAGTTAAGTGTTTCTCTATTTTGGGTATGGTAATAACGCCACAAAAAACATAAAAGTACAGATAACTCTTTAGGACCCTGACTCCAATTTCTTTGAATAAATACTCAGAAGTGGGATTGCTGGATTATACAGTATTTTTCATTTTTTGAGGAGTATCTGCACTGTTTTCCACAGTGACTGCGCCTACTTGCATTCCCACCAACAGTGCACGAGGTTTTCTCTGCATCTCCACCAACACTTGCTATCTTGTGTCTCAGCCATTCTGACAGATGTGACATGATACCTAATGGCAGCTTTGATCTGCGTTTCCCTGATGATGAGTGATGGTGAATACATTTTCCTGTACCTGTTGGCCATTTATTTGTCTGTTTGTTTTAATCTTTTTTGAGAGAGAGACAAAGCACGAGTGGCGGAGGAGCAGAGAGAGGAGATACAGAATCCAAAGCAGGCCCCAGGCTCTGAACCATCAGCACAGAGCTCTATGCATTGCTCAAACTCACAAACCAACTGCCTTAACCAATTGAGCCACACAGGCATCCCACCTGTTGGCCATTTGTATGTCTTCTTTGGTAAATGCTTTTAAACTCAGAGGGAATGGGACCTATCAAAAGACTATTCTAAAACCTCAAGGCTGGTCCTCTTAGACAGTGCCTGAATGTTCCCTTCACGGTCAACTCACACCCCATGGGAGCCTCAGCTCCAGGGGGCACATGAGTTCTTCAAGAATGGAGAAAGGAGGGGCGCCTGGGTGGCTTAGTCGGGTAAGCGTCCGACTTTCACTTAGGTCATGATCTCGCGGTTCGTGGGTTCGAGCCCCGCGTCGGGCTCTGTGCTGACTGCCAGCTCAGAGCCTGGAGCCTGTTTCAGAGTCTGACTCCCTCTCTCTCTGACCCTCCCCTGCTCACGCTGTCTGTCTCTCTCTCTCCTAGAAATAAAAAAAAAAAAATTTTTAATTAAAAAAAAAAAAAGAATGGAGAAAGGAGCCATACCTTGTCTTGGCAGTTAACTGTTACATGGACAGTCTAGTGTTAATGGGCTTTACCTGTGGTATTAAAGGGTCCCTGTAGGGTCTGCACAAGAGCTTGGATTTCAGGCACATTCTCTTGCAAGGCTTGTCCAGTGAAGAGGGGGTTGATTGTGGCAGCTTTATGACCATGTTCACAGTATACAGTCACCAGTCTGGCAAGGCCATGATCAACTAATTCAAGGAGAAAATAAAACAATACAAACAATTTAGGAAATGCCCAAAAACTAAAAAAAAATCAGTTTTTCAAAGAAGCCTTTGTGGCCTTAGACATTTTTAACACATTGCTCCTACCCACCACATCTCAGATTTAAAGACTATCAGAATCCAGGAAAACACACATTTCTTTTTATGTTTATTCTTGAGAGAGAGAGAGAGAGAGAGAGAAGACAGCACGAGTTGGGGAGGAATAGACAGAGAATGAGACACAGAATCCAAAGCAGACTCCAGGCTCTGAGCTATCAGCACAGAGCCCAATGTGGGGCTCAAACTCACAAACCACAAGATCATGACCTCAGCTGAAGTTGGATACTCAGCCGACTGAGACACTCCGGTGTCCCCAGGAAAACACACTTATTTCTTTAAATTTATCTCATGATTGCTAAAGTCAATGAAGGAAAAAAAAAAGGAGATAGAACTATGGGTAAACACTTGTAATAATAACTATGCCCATAGAGAGATAGCAAAAGGAGACACCCCATTGAAAAGAACTGTTAAAATGCTGAGATTATGGATAATTACAGCCCTCTTAATTAGTATTTGAGATTTTTTAATATTTTACTTAAAAATTAGACATAGGTAGAACTACAAAATCAATGTTACATCTCCTTCCCTATTGCTTAAAGATCCCATGTACAGAGTTATTTCATAGACTCATGAAATCTTAGACTAGAAAAAGGTCTTAAAAATGATCTTGTCATGGGGCACTTGGGTGGCCCAGTTGGTTAAGTGTCCAACTTCAGCTCAGGTCATGATTTCATGGTTCGTGAGTTTGAGCCCTTAGTTGGGCTCTACACTTACAGTGCAGAGCCTGCCTGGGATTCTCTTCCCCCCACCCCCTCTCTCTCTGCCCTTCCCCCACTTGCACACTCATGCACATGTTCTCTCTCTCTCAAAATAAATAAACTTAGAAAAAACTTTAAATGGTCTTGTCACTCACATAATGCAAAACAAAACAAGAAACAAACCCTTTAGAAAGCCCTAAATGAGTTTGTCAGTCTTTGCTTGGAGGAGAAGCATTATCTTTTAATGAATCCAATTGATGACTCTATTTTGAGTCCAAACTGCTTTTCTTCCCTCTTCCATATGAAAGTTCTTCCAAAATTTGAAAAAAAAAAATCCTTTAAACCCATATTCCACTAACTTTCAGTCCAACAAGGCAGTCTTACAAATATCACAAATCCCTGATGATGAGCAGATCCACTATCTCTGAACATTTTCTGAACACTTTTTTGGCTCATGTATTTATTCTTAGAACCCAGAGAAATTTAGCATATTTTGAAACATTTAATGACCATTTTATGAACCTGTACTGCCATGCAGTGAGCTACATATGTGCTTGGGTTTGTATTCAGAGTATTGCAAAGTATGTGTCTTGTCACGGCTGCAGGAAAGAAAAGAGATGTACCGAATATGTAAAGGGTGTGTTCACACGAACACAACAGTTAGGAGGACCCACGTTATGTCTAATAAACTAGTAAACTGATTAAACAATCCCAGTAAATGAATTGGTTCCAGTCCAGAGGTTAGTCATATAAATTGCAACAGGGTTCTATTCTGAATCTTACTGAAGTTCTCAATTGCTGTGTTATAAAGTAGGAAACCTTCACATGACCATGTCTAAAGCATTGTCCCTGCAGGTCACTTCTTAAAAACATATTCCTCCTCCCCACCAAAAAACAAGAAAACAGCAAAACAAACAAACAAAAACAAAAACAAAACAAATCCCACATTCTTCCCTGAGCTCTGTGGCATCGCCAGATTCTGGCTTTACTCTTCACTCACTGGCTACTCAACCTCAGTCATTTTGGGGGATCCTCTTCTTCTTTGTCCATCTCTAAAATATTGGTGCTCTGCAGGTCTGCCGGGAGCCTTTTTCTCAAGCTGTTGTCTCTCTGGGTGATCTCTTGTGCCTCCCAGGGCTTCCGGGAACAAGTATAAAACTATATCTCTAGTGGCGCAAGTCTAATAGTAAATACACACGGTTATCATCACCATCCTCAAATGAGCAGCCCTGTTGGAAACATTCTCTCAGTGAACCCCCATCAGCTCACAGAGATTACTACCCCAATTTATTTTTTTTTTATTTTTTTAATGTTTTATTTATTTTTGAGAGAGAGACACAGACAGCATGAGCAGGGGAGGGGCAGAGAGAGAGGGAGACACAGAATCTGAAGACAGGCTCCAGGCTCTGAGCTGTCAGCACAGAGCCCAACGAAGGGCTCGAACCCACCAACCGCGAGATCATAACCTGAGTCGAAGTTGGACACAACCGACTGAGCCACCCAGGCGCCCCAACTACCCCAATTTCTAACTGTTCATCAGGCTTTTCATGCAATGCTAAGAGCAATGGCATGAAAGTTGGCACAAAACCAAGTCCCAGGGACATGTGGAAACTACTATTCTGGCAGAGCCAGAGAGAGAGGTCCGCTGCCCTCACATCTCTGGCCACACCCTACAGCCATCCCGGCAACACATAGTCTCTCAGACCCTCCTCCCGCCATGACTCTGGTTTCTTGTTCCAGACCCAGTCCCATATTCCTTCCCTCTCTGCCTCCCAGATCCTCCCACTGCGACCTCTGGAATTCTGCTCCATGACCCACCGACCTCTCTGCATTCTTACCCTCCTCCATAAACATTCCTTATATCCCTATCCTAGCTGGAACCTGCTTTCTCCCAGGGGACAACAGGAGGTAAAGGTCACCACACAGACCCCTCAAGTACTGAAAGTGGAGTTTAATTCCTCAGGGACATTGCCCCCCCTCACACACACACACATTAGTCCTCTAACTCTGCAAATCCCCAGCCCCCAGGGGGACATGGCCTAGAGTTATCAACTAATCTCCAACCAATGTCAACAGCCATTATAAAATAAGGTTGTAGGAGGAGCCTGATGGAAAGGTGTCAGTGTATATTGATGAAAAAAGACTATAAACAGTATAAATAGTATGAGCCTGCTCTTTGTTACAATGTATATATGTACAGTACCTAATGTATATTTCATTACAGTCTATATAGCATAATATGAGTATCAATATACTTTATATATTTGAATGTGTGTACATATATCTCATATACATAAAGGAAATGGACCAAAAATTTAGTGATTATCCTGTACAAAATTCCTTGTGTTTTCTTTTGCTTATTATATTTGCTAACTTTGCCACAGTGAACATGTATAGCAGAGCTCTTCCGATTTTATCCATGTAACTGACTTGCTGCCTACTGCACCCATAGTGCACTCCTGTACACCCATCCCCACCAGTGGGCTTTATGCTTGTAAGAATCAGTTATATTTGTTCCTAAGGCTGGTGCTGTGGAAGAAAGTAAAGTAAGGAGGGGAGAAATCATAAAAATCTAGAGAGATGCTGCATTCAGATTGCTTCCGTAAGTGCTCTTAATTTTAAAGATCTGCAAAAACA